AACTGCCTTGCCGGGGGGGGGGGAGTTTGTGGTGTGGAATAGAGTGAAGTCCAATCAGCTTCCATATGCAAAAGACCTTGAAATGCTGGGCGGGACTGCACAAAGCAGCCAGTCAACCCAGCCAGCGTCTTCTGACTGACAGTTCCTCCGGCCAAACACTAAAGGGGCCAAATTTAGAACATTCAATATAGAACGTTGCTATTCAATTATAATAAGGGAGAGATAAGAACCAGAGAAAGAGTTACACTCTTCACGCTCCATTTCTCAAGAGTGAATGCATAGACTCCTCCATCTGCAAATAAAAGGTGGCAGAAGTAATTTGGCTCAGAGGGGTGGGGATATGGCGAGGGTTGCCAGCCCTGCACTGGCAAACCCCTGCTAATTTCGAGGGCGCAGGCTGGGGTGGGGTAGTGTCACTGACACCATCATTTCATTCCCGGGCGATTACCCAGAAGTGATGTCACAGCATCTGTGATGCTCTAAGAATTCCCACTGTCTCTATGGTAGACTATCACAGGTGCCATGACATCACTTCAAGGTGTTCACCTGGAAGTGACATCATGGCACCAGCACCATTGTTTTCCTTGCTCATGTTTTCTCCTGCTGCTCCATTGGGTGAGTGCAGGGGAAGGAACACGGAGGCAGGAGGCTGCCCTCCAAGAGTGGGGAATTAGTAAGGCTACCTGTGGCTTCCGTTTTCATTTTTTTTGCTAGTTGTTTCTAGCCTCATGTTCAGTCATTACACTGATTTTTATTTAAATCCATCCCCCACACATGGAGGGCAGTAAGATATGCAAACGAGAACCCCCACACATGGAGGGCAGCTGAGTGGCTCTCTCTATCGCTTTGGACGTAGCTGACATTCTAGGCAAAATACCTATGGGAGGTCATCTCTCTTCAGATTACAGTCAAAGGGAAAGTCCTCTGTAGCAACGAAAGCCAGTTTGAACTTGTTATTATTAGGGTCATTACTGCAAATCATGTGTCTGGTATCCAGCAGTGTACAAACTCTACACTGAGATTCCACTTGGTTACCTTAACTAGTAGCCTTTAATAGACATATTCTGCAAACACACACAAAACCTTCCTTCCTTCCTTCCTTCCTTCCTTCCTTCCTTCCTTCCTTCCTTCCAATAGACTCCTCTTCAGACACTTGATACTTCTGAAGAACAAAACCTTCCTTCCTTCCTTCCTTCCTTCCTTCCTTCCTTCCTTCCTTCCTTCCTTCCCCTGACTTTTCAGGGTTTGTGTGGCTTTTTTTAAAAAAAATAGATGGGGACGTGATAAAGCTTTAATTGCTGGAGACTAGTCCACGAAGGCCTGACCCTCTCTGCCCTGTTTGTTGGCCCTTCAGGGCAGCTGGTCGGAAGCTAGGTGAAACAGTAAGCTGCACTAGATGAACCACTGCTCTTCTTATATGTCTGTGACTGAACTATGCAGGTAGAGTTGCCAACTCCAGACTGGGAAATTCCTAGAGACTTGGTGGCAGAGCCTGGAGAGGGCAAAATTTGGGCAGGGAAGGAAGCTCAGCAGACAACTGATACTATAGAGTCCATCCTCTGAAACTGCCACTTTCTCTGCAAACTGATTTCTGTAGTCGGCACATTCGTTGTAATTCCTGGAGAATTGCAGCCCCACCTGGAGGTTGCACTCCTACATGCAGATGCAGTTGTTAATTGGGAGAAGAATTCAGAATTTAGGGAAATGGCTCCAGTCTGTCTGCACTCAGGGACCAAAAAGTCAGGGAGCAATGAGCAATTAGTACAGTTGCATGCCTAAATGCCAGGCTTGACTCATCAGTCAGTCTGGCCAGCAGGAGGAGAGAGAAGGCTGGCCTTTGATTGGAGGGAACTGCTTAAATCCTTTGCAGCTCCAAGCAAAAGAGGAAGCTACTGCAGATCATACTCAAGAAGAAGAGGCCCTGCATGTTTATTTTAAGTGAATATTTTGGACTTTCTCTTTTCTTTGCTTTACAAGGCATCACCTGTTCAGATTTGCTCTTTTCAGATGAGCTTTTCTGATAGGGTTGCCAGGTCATGCCTGCCAACCAGTGGAAGGTTTAAGGGTGGGTACATAGGGGGCTGCAGTGACACATGTGCCATTACATCACTTCCAGTGAAAACCTGGAAATGACATAGAGTGGCTCTAGGAATTGCCGAAACCTCTATGGTTAAACTATAAAAAGAGATTCCAGCAATTCCTAGAGCAATACTCTGTCACTTCCAGTTTTTCACCAGATGTGACATAACGGTACACCAACTGCCACCAAGATTTTTAAAAATCTCCCACCACTGCTGGGACTGGTGGAAGGCAATAGGACCAGGGGTGAAGTATCTTCTGCTCTGACTGAGGGACTGGCAAGCCTGTTTCTGAAGGGGACTGAAGATCCTATAATTACCAAGGTTACTATGTATATAGCACTTGTGTCTCAGAAATATTGGTGGATGTAACATTGTTATATTACAAGTTAACAATAAATTATATTTCCTTTAAAAAATGTACTTTTTCTTGAAGCCAGTTCACAATTGCTTCACAAACCACAAAGGTGTTGTCATTTCTGGACCTGAACTATTCCCAGTTCTTCATTTGGAAACATTTAGGAGAGAGATCTATGTATCCAGTAGGATTGCCAACAGCCTGGAGGGGAAAAAAGTCCCATTCTGGGATATTAAGAGGTGCTGCTTTCCAAACATCTGCATTATATATTCTTGCTGAATTTCTCAGACTACTGAATATGTCCCCATTGAGAAAGAAAAGGCCTAATGAGAAATTCGGAATTTTTGATACAACTGAAACCAGTAAATGACGTTTGAGTCCAGGGGCACCTTTAAGACCAACAAAGTTTAAATCTGGGTATAAGCTTTATTGTGCATGCACACTTCTTCAGATACAGTGAAACATACTTTCTCAAGCCTTACCCCCACACACACCCTCTATCTACCTATATGTGAGGTTTGAGAAAGTCTGTTTCAATGTATCTGAAGAAGTGTACATGCACATGAAAGCTTATACCCAGAATTAAACTGTTGGTCTTAAAAGTGCCACGGGACTCTAAATTTGATCCAGTAAATAAAGTGTTAATGATATGTTTTCCTATCATTTCTGCTTCTGCACCTCCAAGTTCAAAATATTTATTTAGCCCCCTACAATATAGCTGTTTTATTATATTATCCCCTGAAATTTGGCCAGATCGCACCCCTCGGTAGGAACATCCTGTACGCCAGATCTCAAATGGACAGGATGAAATATCTGGACTCTGAGATTTGACACTCTCTAAACAAGTCACACAGGTTTCCTTGGTGCACGCCAACACTATTTGCTAACAAAGAGGAATAAGTCTGTGTCTTTTTTGCTATTGAAGTGCCAGGAGAAGGATGGATGTTTTCTGTTGTACATATTAGATTCCATGTCAAAAATGAAGTCAAATGAGGAGGAAGATCTATGTTTTATTTCAATTAATAGAAAAACAATTGGACCAAATAGTCCATCCAAAATTGACTACTTTCTTCTCAGCATATTCAGGAGATATGCTTCAATTAACAGGAAAAACCATTGGACCCAATAACTCATCAACAATTGACAACTTTCTTCTTCTTCATCATCTTCTTCTTGAACATATTCTGAACATATTCAGGAAATACATGATATTTTATACATGGACTGACATCATCAAGAAAACAATATTCAAAAAGCATAATTGGTTACAAAAGACAATGGTCATTTGAATAATAAGCCTCTGATTTGTCAGATGTAAAGAAACATATATCTACGACAAATCTACATAAAACCTAAGTGTTTACTTAACCTAACCTAAATGATAATGGGCAAGGATTCTTCATATCCCAAACAAAAGTATTAATTACTGATACGAGACTAAAATCCTCTCTGACCCAGACATTGCAAGGTTTTGCCCTTAAGAACTACAGAATCATGAACTTTGTACCTATTATATTGTCTGCTAACAATATCAGACCTACAAGAGGAAAGCCTTCTATATAACAGGCCTTTCCAACATCCTAATAAAATGTTATTTAGGAATAAATCTATAAAAACCAGAGAAATATGAATAATCAAAAAAGGGGGAAATCTTTATAGTCCCATCTCTACCTACATTTTCCATAGTGTTCCACATGTACAGTTATCATGAGACAGAAATTGTGAGTGAGTGCTCAGTACATGGAGCTCTCAGGGAACAGTCTCATTCCCTTGCCGCTATGGTGCCAACTCCCAGAAACTGAGAGAGGTAGAAATATAAGTGGAAGAGAGTAGAGACCATCAGGGAACTACTAGAACTGTCCTATTTATCTACTTGCAATTTCTTGCTTTCGAACTGCTAGGCTGGCAGGAGCTGAGGCCAGAGACTTTGGGAGGAGGGGGACTTTTGGTATTAAGTGATGCATCTGTCCATACATGGAAGATAGGGTCATCAGCAAATAGAGAGGTGCCTCAAAATTGCCCTTAAGAATTATTATAGCAGTTGCAGTGCCAAAAATGAAGGGAAATAAGCAATGCTCCCTCTAAGCTGTGGAGTCTTGTGAACAATGTAAAAACTTGCTTTGGATCCCAGTCAGGAAGAAAAGCAAGAAATAAATAATAAAATAAATCTTCTGCAATACAGCCAAGAACAGAGTCTCAAGCTCTACACAATAGTCTTCTGCCATCCTTCACGACATCTCCCACATGCAAGAAAATGCTAGTGTTGACCTCTTTGTGCATACATGGAGACAATCTTAACGGTTCTTGGTTATTTCCTGTCTAGTATTACCTGCTTGTTTTCCACCAGCTTCCAACCAATTAGCATGCTGTAGCATCTTTCGAATCTGAAGAAACATCATGCAGGGCAAATTCTTAGCAGAACACGGTTGGAGTGTACTGACTGTGGCTGCATCATCCAAAATACCAAAGGGAGACTTGTCATCTCTGCAGGCCAGAAAGTCAAGGGTGTCTTCAAGACACTGTCCTAGCTTGGAAAATGAAGAAGGCTGGTTCTCGTGCTTAAAAAATTCAAATTCATCAGTTTGTATGACTGAAGTGACGTATAAATAGACTGTTGCATAAGGGGTAGTTTTGCCTTCTGATTGTTCACCTCTGTAATTTGCATACGTCTGAAGGGTTGCTAAACAGCAGCTTGTTTATGGCAGTGTATGCTCAGTTTCATGTTTGCTTTCAGCTTAGCTGAGCTCACAAGAAAAAAGCTGGGCTACTTCCTCTTCCTCCTCCCTCCAAACGCCATCAAGGACAGGTGTATATGTGGTGGAGGGAGATTCCTGGAAAAATAAAGGGGGGAGTCTTTTGTTTTTTGGTTTGTTTTTTGTTTTTCTCTTGTCAAAGACATGGCTGATGCTTGTCCCTTCTTAAGCAAAAAAGAGTGAAGTGGGTTTTCTGGAAAGCCCTCATGGCTCCAATTCTCTAAGGAAAGGGGACAGATTGCAAGGAGAAAGTATCAGGAAAGAGAGAGGGGAGAAAGATCTGAAGAGAAATAAAATGAGCTGGCCACACATCTGCCCGTGCATGCACACACAAAAAAAACACTCCCTCAGGTTACACATTCCTTCAAATTAATGGGTGAGGTTTTTTAGAGGTTAATTTGGAGCATATTTCTACCCGTAGTCAAATTCCAGTTATTTAAACAGTAAAAACTATATTTTGAACCTGTTATTAGAAAGCTAAAATAAACTTCCATGAATTCTAAATGAAAACATCTAAAATTAACAATTTCTTCTATTTACATTGGGGAGTTTTTCTGCCACAAGAATATAACTCTCTATGGAAGAGAAGGGTCATCCTGTTGTCACGAAAGGCTGCATCTCTCCAGAACATTCTACCTGGTTCAGTGCTTTAAGGGAAAAATGAGGTGTTTTTCCTACCCCAATATGCCACATGGACAGGGGTTAAATACTACACCAATGGCAAAATGAATTTCTTTCAGAGGTGGTTATACTACAGAAAGAAAACTGCAAAGTGACCATTCTTTAAGGACACTCCTTAGTACTGTATAGATGACCATGTCCTAGGAGGAAAACATTCTAGAGCCACTTTTCTCTGAATTCTGCCACAAACAACACCACCAGGGAAGGAAATATACATTACATTTTGTTTTTAAAGCTGGGAGGGTGGCTGAGGTAATTCTGAACCTTCTGATCATGTGATCTGGCTTTGTTTATTCTGTCTTATATACCTATTATTTATTATAGTTGCTTAGTGAGGATCCACCCTGGGCCAGATGTAAATTCAGGAAAGAAAACTCCCAGTCCCTGTTCAGATACAGAACTGAAACTCGGACTTTGATTTCTCTTCAGGGAGAGGCAATAATGGCAGCCAGAGATCCCACTGAGGAGCTCTTTGACGAAACGACTTGTCTCATCTGCCTTGATTACTTCAAAGATCCAGTGATCATTGAATGTGGGCATAATTTTTGCAGAGCCTGCATTACTCAGTACTGGGGGGAGTCTAACAGAGCTGTATCCTGCCCTTACTGCAGAGAAACTATTCAACAGAGGATTGTCAGGCCAAACCGACAACTGGCAAATGTTGTTGAAATAGTCAAGAAACATGAGGAGGGGAAAGGGGAAAAACGGAAAAGGGAAGTCTGTGAGAGGCACCAAGAGCCCCTGAAACTCTTCTGTAGGGATGATGAAGTGCCCATCTGTGTGGTGTGTGACCGATCCAAGGAGCATCGAGGTCATAACATAGCTACAGTGGAAGACGTTGCACAAGAGTACAAGGTAGGAAACCACCATGATGGAAGGTTATGGGGAATAATCTGGTTTTCTTTGTCAGAGGGCTGTGTGTCTCTCTAAATGCAGGGGGGTGTCTGTTTTATATAAGGACTAGTAAGGAAAGCCCGTCGTGGCGGTAGACGACGGGCCCTAGATAGGAAGGAAGGGCGAGTGGAAGGGAGGAATGGAGAAGAGGAGGTAGAGAGAGAGAGAGAGAGTTAGAGAGGGGGGGAAAGAGAGAAAAGGGGGGAGACAGAGTGGGGTTAATGGTATTATTTTGGAAAGAATGGAAGGGAGAAAGCTAGGAAGGAAGGAAGGAAGGAAGGAAGGAAGGAAGGAAGGAAGGAAGGAAGGAAGATGGGTAGAAAGACAGAGATTGAAAGAGAGTGAATGGGAGGAAGGATAGTTGAGAAGGAAGACGGGCAGAGAAACAGAGAGGGGAAACAGAGTGG